ACACACACACACACACATTTGGAGTCTATTTGCTAGGATTTTGTTAAGGGGTTTTGCACCTATATTCATAAGAGATACTGGTTTATGGTTTTCTTTCTTTGTAATATCTTTGCCTGGATATTATGGATATGCTTGCTTCACGGAATTACTCTGAGAGTGCTCCTTCTTTTCACATTTTAAAAAATATTTTAAGTAAATTTGGCGCTAGATGTTCTCTGAAGGTTTGGTAGAATTCAGCTTTGAAGCCATCTGGTCCAGGAATTTTCTTATGCGGAAGTCTTCTTATGACCTGCTCAATTTTTTACTTTTGTAATGTTTGTTTATTCAAGTGTTCTAAATATGTCCTTTACAATCTGGGTAGGAAATGAGCTTCAAGGAATTTGTGCATTTCCTCTAGGGTTTTTTAATTTATCAGAGTATAGTGTTTCATAGTATTCTGATATAATTTCTTTTATTCTAGAGGCTATAGGATTAGATTGTCATTATTTTTTCTATTTGATGACAGTGTTAAATTAGGCCATTCTTTATTTCTTCTATAACCCAACTGTGTTCTAGCCTGGTGTTATTTAGTTTCCACAGTGGTGACTTGATAACCTTTATCTTCTGTGTTTAATTTCTAGTTTTATGGCATTATTGTCTGAAAAGATGCTTTCTATTATTTCAAAGATTTTAACTTCTTGTGACTTACTTTGTGTTCTAATATGTGATCAATTCTGGAAAATGTACTATGTACACTTTAGAAGAGAGTCAATTGAGTCTTAGTTGAGTGCAGTGCTTGGAATATATCCATAAGATTATGTTGACTTATTGTATAGTTTAGGTCTTCTGCACCTTTGTTAAGTTTCTTTTATTTTAACATATCCTTTGTTGAGAGTGGTATGTTCAAGTCTCCTAACACTATAGTGGTGCTATTTATTTATTCAATTCTTTTAATAATTGTTTTATGTACTTAGCAGGTATATAATTTGGTTTTGACCAATAGATTTTGACCAATGTTCTGTCCTCTTGATCTACCATGCCTTTAATAATGTGAACTGATTGAATTTTCTTGGTTTGATTAACAATGAACTGTTAGCTAGAAACCTATTGTTTAGAGCCAATCAGAACGTGATGGGAAGACCTATGTATTTAGAGTCCGGCTGGGTCCCAACTAAAACTCTAGTTCAAAGACTCATGTATGAAGCTGTTGGATTCTGGAAGGTGGGCTCTTGTTTGATTGAGGGTCAGGTATGGATTGTTTGGTTATTTTTACTTGTTCACAATTGTGTATTAGCTGATTTGATTTGATGAATTTGGCTAACAGTGAGCTGTGGGCAAAACGCCTCTTGTTTAGAGTCCATC